ATGTTACAACCAGTCTTTAATGAGACGTGGTCCAAAACTAGATGCTGTTAACTTAAGCCTTTACATAGAGTACCATCCCTCTTCCTAATTTTTTTCATGTATTTCCAAGAGCCTCTATTAATGTATTTTCAAGAGTCTCTATTCATCCAGTGCAGCACTCCAGTCAGAAGAGCAGTGTTAACACATCTGCACAATCCCAGTGAATCACATCTCTGCAACTAATTTGCCCTGCTTTCCCCATACGATATATGATACTGCTTTTGTGTGCAGGCATTAGAGACGGACCCCATGTCCTGCTGCATTTATAGAAAGGCAAAAACCTCCCTTGTCAGGCCTGTCGCCTAAACATATCTGCTCTGCTCCTTATGATCTTTCACCTTCAGGTTATGGCAACCTTCCATACCCAGTCTAACAGTCTTCTCAGCAGATCAGTAAGCTTAGTTTGTAAAGATACTCTTGTTCTACTTTGTTAGATTTATTTCATCCCTGCTGAGTAGCCCTCATTTCTGTGGTCCTGGAAGCCAAAGCCCCATCTTCAAGAGAAGCCACACAGTCCACTTCTACCCAATCCTTCCTCCTCCTGGGATTGGCAAGACAAGATCTCAGCTCCTTACCCATCACCCTCATCCCTAAAGCTCTGTAGTTCCTCTTTATATGTGTCAGGGTTACCTCCAGAGCAGTACTCTGGGTACCCACAAGGAAGAGAAAGAGGAAGAAGAGGTCCGTGTGAGGAAGATGGACAAATTTTGGCCGTGCATCTGCAACAATCCCAGATCCTGGCACCTACCAAGCAGTAAAACTCCTGAGACATCAGGTGAGATCAGAAAACACGTGTCTTGGTCATCCATAAGAAGAATCTCCAGTAATGTTCTGTGACTGGTACCCATTACTCCTGACTCATGGTACAGCACTGTTGCCAGAGTATAGTGTCACCCATTCAGGGAAGTGTAATTGCACATGAGATATTTGGGGTGGCAAAATCTTCTGTGACTGTTCACTCAACTCCTTTCCAGATTTTCACTAACAGCTCATGCTAAGGCCTGATATATCTACAAATCTGTGTCCAGCCAAGGATTCATTCAACCAAGGATTCTTAAAAGAAGCTGTCTGTCCCCACAGTGTGAGACAGTGCTGGTCAACATTATCACTCATTTTCCCTTTTTTGTGTGAACACTAAATTCAGGCTCAGCTGACTCTGATGGGTCTTGTTGATCCTCACCAGATCTTAGGATACTATATGTATTCTGAAATTGAACAATTGCAGGTGGAGCAGATCTGTGAATTTTTGTTGCCAGAAGCCACCAGCTTTCAGCCTTTTCTATCTCAATAACCTCTGTCCACTTGGTCTTCAGTTGTCACTCCTTCCTGACTTTGTGTAGCTTGGGTTTTCCACAAATGCCATGTCAGTCTCCTCCTCATCTTCTCCTGCCATCTGGAATCTCAGGACTTCGACCACAGCACATCTCCCACAAGAGTGGCCACCACCGCCCTGACCTCTGGGAAGATACATGAGCTCTCTGAAGCATTCAGGGTGGATATAGGACTTCTTCCTAATAGAGCCAAAGACTCTGATGTGCTAATGGCAGTTCTGCAGACTTCTATATCTTAATGGAAGTCCATGTGCTGGACAGCATCTCCTGCAGCTTTTTCAGACTACCACTGTATAGTCTTCAAGCAGATCCACATAGTCTTAAGTAGAATTCCTAGTCCCCTTTGCACTTCTGCAGCAACAAGTGTTTTGTCTCATTTACCACACTCTGTGGGCTTCACTCTGGCTTCCTTACTCTTGCCCTAACAGGTATGTTTTGGTGAGAATATGGTCTTGCCCACATCAACATCTCCCTGAGCACCCATCATCCAGCTTTTCAAGTGCTGCTGCTGCTGTACTGCCCTGCCACCCATAGTCCTCTCACCATGGATCTCACTGGATTGAGCCCTGAACAACCTGATCTGGCTTTAAGTTAGCCCTCTTGTGAGCAGAAGTTTGAATGAGATCATCCCAGATTCCTTGCACTTGAAATTGCTCTGCATTTCTACGTCAAAGACCCTGATGAATATACACTGAAGTTCAACTGGTTTTATTTTAACAGCAAACAATAACCAAGGTAAGGATCTGTTCCCCAGGAGGTGTAAAAATGCATATAGCATTGTTATGGCACACAGCTCTTGGTACAGGAAAAGAGAGAACCTCAGTTTTGCTCTTTGTAACCTTTGTGTAGGAATGAGGACAATTAAAAGGCCTTAGAGTTCATTTACATGTCTGTTTACAAGCTGTCAAAGTTACATGACCTGCACTGTAGATTCTATTCAGAGATCACCACCAAGTGAGCTAATAAAGCCACTGGCTTCATTAACCCGTATCACTTTCCTGTTTTTCTTCCTGTGTGACAAAGTCAATCATACATGTTCTGTTCCCAGATTAGAAAGCAGCCTAAAATTCACTTGGTTTCAATGGCTGGCTGCTGAGCCTTCTCAACCACATCAACAGCAAGCAGGGATTTTTGTAATTCTATGACATTCTGAAGGAGAAGAAAAAATAAACAGAAGAAGATAAAAAAATCTTCTATCACTTCTGTCCTAACATGCACTAAAATCCTCATTGTCTGATGTGAAGGTCAACTTTCTAACTGTCCTGCTGAAGGAGTGCTTTCCGCAGGCTGCCATTTAGTCCACACATACTGCCCCTGCCCCCTACCTCCCCAGAATACCCAGTACAGAACATGAGAAGAAGCTAAGACATAAAATACCCCACGTGCTGCTGAAGTATTATCCACAAGCTTCACTTAATCATACTTTCAATTCCTTCCCTAATAGGTTTGGAGTAATGTGTCAGTAGTCACAAACTTTTCTGAGACCTGAACCTGAATCTACATGACCTGTAGCAGAGTTTTACAGAGCAGGGCACACACTACATGGCATGACTGACTTACCTTAGAACTTTTAAGAAAAGTTTAATGTAACTTTATCTAACCATACAGAAAGGAGCACAACTTAAAATTTCCACAATATTAACTTCCCAAAGTAAACAAAGCATTAAAAGCTTGTATGGAGAATTCATATATGCACTCCTGTGTAGGAATGCGCCCCCTAATGACAGAGTGGCAAAACTAACCTTTGTCCCTCAAAAAAGGAAAGAAGCCCAGAAGCTTCTCTCAACTGTTAGGTGGAAAGCCACCTTATAGGGCCTCAGGGACTTCACCAAACACTAGAGAACATGTAATTGGATAGAAGCCAAAAAGTCCCGCCTGATCAATCAAGTAGAAAAGAACAGAACAAAAGAGAAGAGGGGCTTTTGTGAAGTGTTTCTACCAGGGGCAGACCTCTGTACCTGGCTCGAGTTTTTCTATTTGTTATTTTGCCTTTTATTAAACCTTTTTTGTTTCTAACACCACAGCAGAAGCCATCCTGCTTATTTTATGCCCCCAAAGCTGTAGCTGAGCTATCCTTGGGTGTAGTAAGTGTTTTTCTAGGGCTTATGAGAACTGGCCCGGGGCAAACAACTTAATACTCCTGGGCTGCAGAAGGAGAGTGTCCATCTATTCATTTATTTATTTTAATGTCTTTAATTGCCAAGTTTGTGGGTCTTTTTTACCATCCAGGAACTAAATTAGCATGAGAAAACAAACATGACATTTGGTTTTATATACACACACACTCCCAGCCTGCAATCTCCCTGCTTTTTAAGCTCTGCCTCCTGTCCCTTACTTTTCCAGGTAGCAGAAGAAGATATTCTGATCGCCCTTTCCTAACTTCTTCAACTCTCCCCAGAACAGGATATATTGAACAGTCAAGCCTCACATCTTTGGCTCATATTCCCCTCTGCTCTTCTTCTCCTGCTGCTGGCACACTCATATACCTCTGCTGAACCTTTATGAAGCTACTTTGCATCTGCAAAGCTCTCTCATCCATGCACCCCACACAGAAAGACACTTTTCCCTTAGTATCAGATACTGCTCATTTCAATATCTGCCTGCTGAAATACCAAAAATGGAATCAGGAGTGAGGCCTAGAAGAATGTACACAATTTGAAGGAAGAATCCCTGTACAGATGAAGAAGTTATTCAAATTCATTAACGTAAGTGAAGAACAAAAAGGAAGGTTTAAGTCTGTATCAAAATTACCACTTGTTTTAAATGAGAGTAGAAGAGTAATAAAATAAAATCTTGCAAAAAGCTGACTTATTTTACAACTCAAAAGAGTTCTTTCCACTTGATATTTACGCTGATCATTTGTAGAGAACCAGTTTCTGAAAAGATTATACTTTCATTCACAGCTTTACAGGCAAAATTCAGGAGGATCACAAATTTTAAGCAGATGAACTAAACTGACAGAACTATTCGAGCTGATGGTAAGCACTCCAGTATTTCCTAAAATACTGGATAAAAGCTTGCCTAGCCTGGGCATCTAAAAGGACAACCAAGCTAATGTACAGTATGCTTTATAGCTCTCTTTTCACATACAAAGCTTAATACCAGTATTTTAAAATTAAAAAGAAAGAACATTGTAGCTCTGACAGACTTTGAACAAACAAGAAACAAAGATGGGACCACATGATAATTATTCCCAGATTTCCAGTGTTCTGGGATTCACATGGTGTAAATAAATGTATTTTAAGATGCCTTTGCTTTTTGGTGTTTCACAAAACATCTTAAAACTTTTTATTGTGGCTCCAATGTCATTATACCCTTTTTGATTTGGATACACCACTCTTCATGAACATTTCATTGTTCTAAGCATACACAAGAGCTCAGAATATTCCTGATGTGCTACTACATGCTAGTACAATTCCTAGAAGGAGCAATGACAGTACCACACAAGAACACACAGTAGCGCAATACTCAGTTGTTGCATAGTCTTTTCTCCAATTTTGCTTTGCAATTGCCTTCAGGCTCACAGAGAAATTGGATTTGTGGATTGTAGAGGGAAGTGGTGAACATAACAACACTGCAATAGGACAAAGGACAGGTAGAAACAATCTGTCCATTAGACCAGTAACGTACCGTTACTCCAGTTAAACCTGGGCCTTTTCCTTCAATTAGTTTATACATTTCTTGAAGTGCTTCCTCATCACTTTTGCCTTTAAATCGCTTCTTGGAGAGTTCTTGAAGAGCTTCCTTAAACTGCTCAAAAGTAATAGTTCTTACAGACTTTCCCCTGTTGAAACACACAGCAATTGAAAGAAATTACAAGGGAGCACAAAAGCATTTCAAGAATAGCAGAATGGTTTCAGTTTACCACAGTGAACAACAGAAAACTGCAACAGAACAGGAAGACCCATGCAGCCCATTTATGATGTCAAAAAAAAACATATCCCAGGAATATCACTTTATTTTTATATGTACATCAGTAGGATAGCACTTCATAGATTTCCCTTGATGAATGTTCAGAAATAAAGAGGAAATAAAGCAACTGGGTTTACTGTCAAAATGCCTGCAGCTCATCAAATTAAATACAGTCTCATTTGGTTGACCACTTATAATGCCTGCACGTATAAGACAGGATCTGAAGCATCTTAGGTGAGTCTTTTTATTTACTAGTTTTTATTCCTCTTTGAATAACTTGTTATCATATTACTTATAAGTCACTATTCATGTGTTCACAAATAAATTAAGAATTATTCTGCTATCGTGTAAAGCAAACTACTGAAAAGCATTAAAATCTTGAAATTCCTCCTCGACTGAAGACTGACAAGTTTTTAAATAACACATTTAAATTCAATACCTATTTTCCTTTGTAGACCATCATCTTCAAAAAACATTTAAAGGTATGCAGAAAACACAATATAGTAGCCTGGTAAACTCATAAATTTTGCTGTACAAGTGTGTGGTGCAAATTCTGATAATGGGAAATTCCCACTTTACAAACACCAGTTTATACTGTCATTCCTGCAGATCTTTTTTGGTCCATCACACCAAAGGTTTCAGTTGATACAACTCTTACAAAGCATTCACTACAGTGATATGTTTACCCAAAAGGAGGTTAATGCATGTCTATTTTCTAGCATTTTAAAATATTCAGTTTAGGCAGGAGATAATGTTGCAGAGTATGCACTGCTCCACTCAATTCCCTAATATTAACCTAGTTTTAGTGTTCCTCATTTTAAAATTCAGATATGAAGCAACAGCATTAGTGAGTTTACTCACCATTAAACAAAAACCAACTATTTTTACGAATTACAGCAGAGACAAACCACATCTTTTCCTGTATTAGTAAACTACAGATTCTCTGATCTTTATAATAAGAATTTACACTCCAAAATTTAGCCATAGTTTAGCAGATCAAATAGAACCATTTTCAAAAATATGTTTTGATACTTATACTGATATAATCTTAAATAGTACCATCTTCAAAAGCAGAAAATATTTACATTACAAAAATCTCTAAGTTAAAGTAATATTTGAGAGTCCATGTTGCTGGGAAACATGCTACTACACAAGTTTTGTTTGCTGCTTGAGCATTTATTTTTGCGCCAATTTGGAGAACATTTCAAGCAAATCAGGGGAAAAAGTAACCAAGCACCACCACACAACCCAGACCAGTCCTTTCAACAGAGACAGCTGTTTATATAGGAATAAACAATAGATGCTAGGATAGAGAGAATGTGCACCAGCAACAGAAATCTTGGGCTAGAAAAACAGTACACAGCAATCTAATTTTAATTCAAGTGTCAAAAGACCACTGTGAAGAGCAATTCATCTATAGGTCATGGATTTATCTTTGATCTTCTTTTAGATACTTTCAGTGGTCAAATCCCTCTCAGCTGGGGGATGCCTCCACTAACGAAAAGGGGAAATGAGATTTCTGGTTTAGCAACCAACAGTTAGAAAGTGACTCTTACTTCAATTAACTAAACAAAAATGAAATTTTATCCCAGGCTTTTAAAACAAAGAAAAATCAGTTATTCACAACAAAATTCAACACTAAGGGAACCCTCTAAATAATTGTTCATTACTAGCATTCTTTATTTTCAATGCAGCCCAACATATGTATCAAATGTCAGCAACCCCCACAAAATAAACTTTATGTGTTTTTTGCCCAAACATTGCTGTTTGCAACTACTTGTGTGCTTTAGGTAAAGCATGTGCTGGAATATCTCAGAATTAGCTGGTAAAAGAACACCATGACAGCAGAAATAAAGAATATAATCCAGCATTTAATTAATCAGAAAGACAGGTGGAATAAACTGCAATTAACTACCTGGAATTTCTCCAGGATTCTCATTAATAGGTTTAACATCCGTCTTCTGATGAAACACGTCCAAGAACTTATAAGTAGCACAAGAGGTCAAGACTTCATTTTGTTTTGCCTCTTATTTAGAAAAAGAAAGCACTGTCAATCATTGCAAGGCTTCAGCATAACAACAACCTAAGGCCCTAATTTCTCTACAGACTCACTGCCAAGCCTAGCATTCAGGCCTTGCCAAAGGCAGTTTTCTGTAGCACATAGGTTTAGCTTGGATCATCAATCAGGATCATTGCAGTGGGAAAGAGAATGATCACTTCAGCAAAACCAGCAAAAATTCATGTTGACTTGTTTATTTTTCACAGAATATTCTGAGCTGGAAGGGACCCACAAGGATCATCAAGTTCAACCCTGAAGTGGTCAAACCCACGACCTTGTCACTATTAGCACCACACTCTAAACAAATGAACTGATCTCAGGGTTTTATTTTAACACATGAAGAATTTCTGCTTGCCCACTTATTAAATAGAAAAGCATAACTTTTTTTTTTTTGTATGAATTAAAAGGAAAAATACATAAATATGGCTGCCATGAGGAACAAAGAGCATTTAGTTTAAGACACAGGTATACCTACCTTTCATATTTCATCTCTTCCCTGTCACTTACACGGGGCAAGGAAATGAGTGGATTTTTCCCCTTCAGCTTAGACAAATTAGACACATATATGACCAAGGTACCATTGCAGCCAAACCCCGAAAGAGAAACAAATGTGCATCGTAGCTGATATTCTTTACCAGACAACAGCATTTATTGATGTTAAAAATAGGATTGGGAGTGAAGGAATTTTTGCAACTATATCCCAAGTTTCCTAAATAAAACAACTTTAATTTTGAAATTTGTTATCTTTTTCTACACTCCAAAAATACCCCCTCTCACTCCCCCATCTACTACAAGATTATCAAATCCACTAGTAAAGCACCATACTCTACAGCTACAACATATGCCAAGTCTTGTGGAAAACCCTAGGAACACAACATGTTCTTGCACTTTTGGTATGTGAGGTATGGTACATGTATGCCATGTATTAGCATCTAAATTATCAAGCAGCAATCCTATACCCCTCCTCTCTCTAGAAACAGGTCTCGAAAAGCTCTGAGCAGTTGCTGTCATCATGATTACTAACTAGAACAGCATGCTCCCCTCTCCTCTGTCTGTACAGTCATGGGTTGAATACATAGGAGACCACTGACTGAGTAGGTAGAAATGACAGGAAAAGTCTTTCAGCGAACCTTGATTTACACACTCTCTCCAATCCAGGTCCACAAAAACACCCTAGGGGTAATGGACTCATGAGTACTATTGGATGGAAAATTGGACATGAGCCAGCAACATGCACTCCCAGCCCAGAAAGCCAACAACTGCATCCTGGGCTGCACCAAAAGCAGCATGGGAGCAGGGTGTGGGAGAGGATTCTGCCCCTCTACTCTGCTGTGGTGAGAGCCCACTTGGAGCACTGCATCCAGCTCTGGGGTCCCCAGCACAGGAAAGACACTGACCTGTTGGAGTGAGTCCAGAGCAGACCAGAGAGTCAGAGAGAAGGAACAGTTCTGCCGTGAAGACAAGTTGGGAAGAGTTGGGGCTGTTCAGTCTGGTGGAGACGGCTCCAGGAGACCTTACTGCAGCTTTTAGGGAGCATACAAGGAAGGACTGGGGGAAGGTTTTCTAGCAGAGCTGTTGTTATAGGACAAAGTAATGGCTGCAAACTAAAATAGGGTCAATTCAGACTAGATATAAGGAAGACATTTTTAGGAGGGTGGTGAAACACTGACAGCAAGAGGCTGTCCAGAGAAATGACAGATGGTCCATCCCTGGTCAGGTTGGATGGGGCTATGAGCAACCTGGTCTCATGCAATGTGTCCCTGCTCACTGGGAGAAGGGCGAGGTGGTGGTGTTCACCTGGATGACATGTAAAAGGCTCCCTGCAACTCAAACTGTATGAAAAATTATAATGCTATGAACACAGCATAACACACAAGGCTCTCATACCCCCAGTTTATTTTCACCATTTTTAATGTCCTGTTCACATTCAGGAAACCCCTTCCTTGTACCAGCTTTTCAGACCTCATGAACTTAAGAAAAAACCCAACCCGTAACACCCCAAATAAACTAATTCCTTTTTATTAAGCAACTGCTACGAAGAATCAGCTTCTTTGTGTATATATTTGTAACTTGTTTTTAGAAGCTCATTATAAATATCTCGTTTCCATGGGAATAACAAAACAAATATATTCACTTTCATTTTCCAAGTGTTACAAGTTCAAACAACTTGTCTACAATTAAGTATGCCAAGGGTGATCACTCAGCTCTTAACACTCATCTCTTAGGTTTAGCATTCCAGAGAGTTAGCATAGAAAGAGAAAAAACTATGTTGAAAAAAAAAAATAAAAATCAAGGCATCAGAATGAAAATTAAAACTGACCAGCAAGTAAGACAAAATGGAAAATAACAACAAAGAAGGGAAGGTGGGAGGGAAAAAAAGGTTTTCACAAAACTAGGTGTCATAAGGTTGGCCACTTCAATGAAAAGAATAAAATATATGAAGGACATTAATAAAAAAATTTTTTAAAGCCCTATACTTCATTATGACACAAAGAAACCTTTATGTTTAGAAAGGATACATTCTTACATACCATTCTATTTTAAGCTCTGCTTCTTACAACAAACAGAATTACTGTAATGCATCATCCTTCAGTGGCGGAAACCGTGTTCATGGTACAATAATGACAGCCTCCTGTATCTATGCCTACATTTGGGAACAGAATGAACATACTCAGAAGAATTTTAGGAAGCTTCCCATCACTTCCCCTTCTTTGATAAGTCTCTCCACATGTGGCTACTACGTAATGGGAGATTCTGAACTGAAGGTCAAAATCCTCAGTTTGCTCTTGGGAGCCCAAGTTCACCTATATAAA